AATGTCTAGCCTGTTATTTCTCTCGCTGAAATAACTAGTGGCCAGTGAAGGAGAACCAAGGTGATCTCAGCTTCCCAAGGCAGCTCCTGAAACAGTATGGATACATATTTGTGCCCCTCATTTCAGTTCCAGGCCAGGAGTGCCTGGTGATGGACCTTCCCAGCCTGTGGCAGGGAAGGAGCAGGGCTTGTCTTTGTTTCCATACCTCTGAGACACACCAGGGTCCTTCCAAAGCAGGACTCAGGTGCCAGGGAAGGCAGTCACTGTGCAAAGCCTCAGCAGGTTTATAGTCTATTTGTGCGTTAAGTTTGGTATTCATGTTTAAAGATTAGCAAAGATTGAGAAGTTACAAATCTTTAAAGCAATGTAACTGACGTGCTTGCAAGAGCCTATAGAAATTATAAATAATGTGCTAAAAAATATTCAAAATAAGTTACTTGGTCACAAAGCAGTGATACACAGATGCCAGTGGGCTTCTATTCCATGTTTCACCAAGCAGTTTCCCAACTCCATTTTTTTAAGCATCTCCACTGTGACCAGAAACTTAAGAGATGATTTTTCTTTGATTAACCTGCATTGACTGTGAAAAGAAAATTCCTGAAGGAATAAGGCCTTGCTAGTAACTTAGGCAACAGATCTGCCTGCCTCTTTAGTCTTTCTCTGGAAAAAGAGCCAGTGCAAAGCTTAAATTAGTCACTGCACGGAGTTAATGACTGCAGCCCTTCATCTCCCAGGCAAAGATTTCATGCTGAAAAACCCTCCCTGCAGTCACAGTCAGGTGGCATAAAACAGATTATGGAAAAGCCATGACTAGCACAGTGAAATGCAGATTTACTGGAGCAGAACACTGAGGAATGAGGCATCCGGGGACTGATGTTCCCCCTGCCCCCCGTCAGTAAACCTGACCCCCCTTCCCTCTCGGAAAACCACGGTGAGTTGTACCTAGTTCTGCCACAGCCGCTGCACAGGCTGACAGAGCGAATTTGCTGGCTCGGGGCCATCTCTCTGGAAGAGGTAAGCTCCTCTCTTCTTCTGCAGGTGACATCTAGCATCTCTCATGAACCGAGGGTAACCAGCCAGCCTGCCCGGCTGTGTCTGCAGCAAGAGCGGGCCCTAGCGCAGGTCGGCTCGGGGTGCTTTAGGAGTCAAGCTGCGGAAGGTCATGATTCTCCAGCGGCAGCACCGGGAGCTGCAGCAGCCCCAGCGGCTCCGCAGAGCTGCAAGGTCCTTCTGCAGTGACACAAGAGACTCCCGCGCAACAGGCTCCTGGGAAATGTAGTCTGTCACCAAGGCGGCTCTGTGCAGCCTTTCCGTAGTAGATAATGCCTTTCCGTAATGTAGATAACGGATTTGTCCATTATCTACATTAAAAAGAGTAATCATTAATGAGAGTTGAAGATTACGCATGGGGTCTGTTTGCTTTCGGGGTGCTGTCATTGGCAGCACTGCCTGGGGAGCCCCAAACTCTGTTCCCGTGTCAAGCAGCTGCATCAAGGAGGGATTAATTGATCCAGATCTGCTTTAGTAAGAGCTGCACTAGCAACGGCCACGTGCCGAGCTGGGGCTGTGGATTAGGCAGGCAGCGCTGCAGTTTGAACAGGGATCCCAGCAAGCCTGGGATGGCAGGAATGGATCACTTCTCAGAGCTCTTAAGTGAAAAGTTTAAAGCTTTTCCTGGCTGAGTGCTGAAGTCCTGTTGTGTGCCAGTCCTAATTTCTCTTATTGTAGAGCTTTTTAATTTATCATTGAGGCTCAGCTGAATCCCTAAGTTAATCATTAGTCAGTAATCCTCATGATGATTTGAGGATTTTTTTGGTCACAGAAACTTATCTCAGAACACCTCCCCACACCTGTGACTGCCTAAAGCTTTGGTGTGTGGTCCCTGTCAAAATAATTCAGACAAATTAAGGGAGCATTGCAGGTGAAATATTCAGTTGAATCTGTCTCATTGGTCACCAGTAATTGGTATTAAATTGGATCCTTCTTGGGGTTAAAATTCATTAGAATTCATGCAAGGATAAAACAAACTCCTGACAAAGCTGTGGTTAAAAATGGGGAGAGGGCATATTGCAATCCAATGCAAACGTGCATGGAAGGTATGAGTGGTTCAGAGCCTGTTTTTGGACAGTTCATGCCATCTGCTGTGGCACTTTGTGCCTCCCTGCACAGCTGTGCTGTGGGTTTGGGTCAGCTTGTGCCACACTCTATCAGCCTGTGTTTCATTGACTCATAATGTGGGGTAGACAGGACCTCTAGAGTTCACCTGCAGTCATCCTACAGTCAGTCCTCTTGTCAACAGGAGAGCTCTGGAGTTACAGCAGGTTGCCCAAGGTCTTGTTTGGTGCCCTGAAAAGCTCCCAGGATGAGGGTTTCACAACCATGTACCTCTGGGTACAATCTCACTCTGTTTTCTCTATGACCATGCTGTAGGGAGTGGAAAACAACAACTAGATCTCTCCTTAAAGTAAACCTCATAGTATTGCAGTATCCTATGGAAGGAACAGCTCTCCCTGGTCATTTCTAGCCTGAAGAAATAGGTTCTTTTTTAAACCAGATGATTGGGGGATGGCTGTGAAGGGGAATATTCTCTGCCCACAGGACCTTTGAAATGAGTCTGACTAGAGGTGGATGTTGCATGGAGAGCTCTGTGATGTGTGGAGAAGGGCCAGTACTCATGGAGAGCCATCAAACACCTGGATCTCCTATATCCCTGAATCCTGAGAAGACAGCACCAGCAGAGAGGACCCTTTCTATTAATTTATTTCAACTCTCAGTGAGATGGAGTTTTTTGGTTTCTGTCCCAAGCCAGTTTGACCAAAGGCTGCATCTAGAGGGACAGAGTGTGGGCTTCAGATGGGGTGGAAGCACAGCAGCGGGCTCTGGGCCAGCTGTGTGCTGCTGGAGAAAGGCAGCCAGACTGCCCAGTGCCCTCACCTGTGCCTCTGTGTTAGTTCACTTGGAAAAACCATCAAACATTAACCACTGCCCAGCCCAAGGAAAGCTTGGCAGTGACTGTTACACATTCCTACTGCTTGTGTCCTCCTCACAACAGTGCCTTGCATCTCATGTCCTTCACCAAATCATGCCCTAAAAGTACAACCTAAACAAAACAAACAAAAAAGGCCAAAACAAACACAAAAGCCTTTAATGAATGTCTTCACAGAGGCTTGAGAAATTGTCTGACCTGTATACATAGATCACTTTGAACTCACTACTCAGTCAGTTAATGAAAATATACCATGCATATAATGAAAAGATGCATTTCTCCAATATTACAAGGCCTTTAGCTCTCTTATCACTTTACCCATTTATAGGAAGAGAAATAATTTAATGGCTAAAATAAAATCAGGAAATAAACATATAAAGAGCTGTGATAGCTAAACACAGAAGTGTAGGAATATCACAGTTAACAGTGATTTATCTGTTTGTTCCAGACAGTTTGCAAAATGGAGTTCAACACCCTATTTGTCACAGCTGATGTATGTGAGCTTGTTCTTCTGCACCTACAACCAACACGTAACATCCCAAGGTATTTCAAAATGACTGTTTAATGAATAACATATACCTAATTTTCACAGCTCTGAACCTCCTACTATCAGGTATATTTCTGCTGTGCTACTTTTACCATATTGTCTGTCTGCACAGGTACAAAGGCTCCTGTTTGTGCACCTTCTCTAATGAATAACATATACCTAATTTTCACAGCTCTGAACCTCCTACTATCAGGTATATTTCTGCTGTGCTACTTTTACTGTACTGCCTGTCTGCACAGGTACAAAGAGGTTTGTGCACCTCTTTCTGTATAGGAAGTGAGTTAAACTGTATTTGTATCTGTATTTGTTTATGCCCACTGCCTCTTGCCCTTTCACTGGGCACCCCGAAAAAAAGCCTGGCTCCATCCTCTTTGCACCCTCCCTTCAGGTGTTCATACACACGGAGAAGTTCCCCCTGAACCTTCTCTTCTCCAGACTGAGCTGTCCCAGCTGCCTCAGCCTCTCCTCAAATGACAGATGCTCCAGCCCCTTTTTGGCACTTCACTCTTGGCAGAGGATCACCTCCCTCAGTCTGCTGGCAGCACTTTCCCTGATGCAGCCCAGGGTGCTCAAGGTCCATCTCTGACTCGTGTTCAACCTGGTGCTCACCAGGACCCCAGATCTGCAAAGTTCCCACTCACCCAGGTGCCCCCTCAGCCTGTACTGGTGCACGGTGTTGTTCCTACCCCGTGGCAGAACTTGGCATTTGCCTTTGCTGAACTTCATTAAGTCCCCTTTTTTTTTTAATTTTTTTTTCCAGGAAAAGCTGGACCAGGGGATCATTGGGGTCCCTTCCGACCCATTGTTCCCTGATTTTGAGATAAATTCTTTGCCTGTTTTCCAGCCTGCTGAGGTCCCCCTGAGTGGCAGCACACTCATCTGGTCTGTCAGATACTTCTCCTGGTTTTCTGTTCCCTTCAAACCCACTGAAGGTGTGTGGGGGTAGATGCTGACAGCACTTCCTAGAGGCTTTTTATACTTAATGTATTCTGTACGTAATTTTGATGTGCCACTTTCACACATGCAAAGAAACTAATCTGACCTCTATGAAACTTGACTTCTGACATGGCACTGATGTAATAGAGGTGGCCAGCAGGCTTTGTCTGTCAGTTCAACCTCAGAAGCATTTCTCTACTCCTCAGACGTTGGACACATCCAGCCTTTAATGAGGTATCTCAGACAGGTGAGAGACACCTTTCTTAAGGTTTCTGCTTCAGGTGATGCCTGCAGAAGTTTATTGCTGTCTCTGACTTGCTGAAAGTTAAATGTCTGCAAATCACAGGGTCTTTGCTTTGTAATCTCAATACGGAAAAAAAAAAAAAAAGAAGTATATTTTTTAAACTGAAGAAGGCTCTGCACTGCTTTGCTGGTGTCCCCGGCTGCCCGGGTGGCCTTCCAGCTACTTGGCGCAAAGTCCAAGGCTTTGCCCCAGCAAATCTAGGTTTTGCAAGCAGCAGACTTGGTCCCCATCCCAGACCGGAGCAGAACAGGCTCTGCCATTTCCAGAGCGAGGGCTGGTGCCCTGCGCTGCCCAGGGCTCTGGCGCTGTGCCGGGGCCGCTCGCAGAGGCCTCGGCGGCGGCGCCGGGAGCGCGGCCGTGCCGGGGCCGCGGCAGCGCCCGGAGGCAAAATGGATCTCGCTCCGCTCTTGGCAGCGCTCCTGGGACTCCTCATTGTCAAGGCTCTTTTGTTTCAGCTGGGAAACCCGAGCTCCCCTCCTTGCATCAGGAGCTGGATCCCTTGGTTTGGAGCTGCGTTTCAGTTCGGGAAAGCTCCTCTGGAGTTTATAGAGCAAGCCAGAAAGAAGGTAATGCGTGTGCTGGCCTGCCTGCTCGGGTGCGTGCTCAGGGTGGCTGCCTGCAAGGGGAAAGGCAACCAGAAACTTCTGCCTTCAGTTTTGCCCTTTCCTGTCACGTTTTGTAACGCCAGGAGCATTTAAATGGTGGAGAATCGGCTTAGTGCCACCAGCATTGGTGAGTTGTGGATCTGATCCAGGCACGATCTCTGTGCTGTGATCATCCTGTTTGGATCTCTGCCGTTTTGCTTTTACAGTCTGGCTGTGTGTTAATCTTGGTTTCAGATAATGTGGAAAGCTCTGTGCCAAGTGCTGGGACCAGGAAACTACTTATTTGCATGCCTAAAGTTAGGTGAGATTTTTGAGCACCAGCTGGTGTCCCTCAGCATTCAAGCAACACAGAGATGTTCTTGGCAGACAAAGCTTTCTGTCCTGAAAATCTTAACTAAACATGGGGTCAGAATTTACCCCTTGGACTTGAATTTCTTTTTCTGTGTCTGTTGGATAGAAAGTGATCAAATTCTTAATTTCTAGATATTTAATAATAACTGACATAAACCCCAGTTTCCCATTTTCATTCAGGGATTCTATCACCTGCTACTACAGTGTCATCAGCCTTAAGTGTCTCGTGCTGAAGGATCACACAGCCTCACTACTTGCAAAAACTAGCTACAAATGAAACCACTGTAACATCCTAAAAAAAAAACAAAAAAACAAACAAAAAAAAACCAAAAAAAAACCAAACCAAAAACAAAAACAAAAACAAAACAAAAAAAAACCCAACCAAACAAATAAAAAAACCGAAACCCCATATCAATAAATACTGGATGTTTAAAATTTGCTTTCTCATTTTGAACTGCTAGATTTCATATTTGTATTTCTTTTTGTGTTGTTATAAACTAATGGTGTTAAAGCAGAGGATTAAATCTGGTCTTTGAGAGCAACAAGAGCTATCAATCTTGTATTAAAGCACATTGGGTGCATCATGGGGTAAGCTCAGAGGTATGATCTGGAGTTTCTTGGCTTCTCTGGGCTTGACAGGCCATTTTTTATTTAATATTACTGTGTCTTTCCTGTAGCTTTCATCTGTGCAAATGCACACTCATTGGCTCTGGGTTAATTAATATTGGTGTTCATTTGCCTGGAGACCCTCTGGGCTCCAGCTTGATGCTGTGGCAGCTGCTGACACATCTGCACACTCCAGGAACACCTGAAGGACTTTATGAACCTCTGGTTTTGTTGGAGAAACTAGACAGAAACTAGAACAAGAAACATTTTCAATGGCTGAAAACTCAAAGCAAAGAAGGAAGAGAATGCTTTCTTACATCTTTCCCTTTACCATGTGGTTGCTGGTAGGGCTTTTCCTTTGACTTTAGTCTAGCAGCTCCTTCTGACCTCTCCCTGTTGTCCCTCTGGGGGCTGTCTCCATCCCTCCCTCCCAGCTTGGCCACCTGCCTGCAGCACCATCACCTGGCTCTCCCTGCCTCTGAGGAAGGCCACTTGCTTGTTGTCCCCTTCCTCTCCTTAAACCCTTCTCAGGCACTGAAAGCCTCCCTCCCTTCCCCTCCCTTCCCACCTCCCACACTGGCACGCTGTGCTGAGGCCAGGAAAAATAAATCTTTTCCTGCCTGCTCCCTTTTAAAAGAGTAGGCACTGTTGGAGAGTACAGCCAAACAAAACACGTGCTGCTGCCAAAGGGGTCATTAACAGGCACTCCAGGGCTTGCAAAATACATCTGCCATAATTCCAGGCTCCTTAATACTGCCAGAACAAGGATAAGTGTCCTTAGTACGAGCGAGCTGCCCTCGTAAAAGGTGTTAGAGAAACAGGCTTTAGGCAGTGTGAAACCTCATTTCAAGGGTGTTATCTTCAGGGGAGACTCTTGCAATTCCTCCTCTGGATTAATTCTTCAGACTGTCAAAGTGACACTCATGTCTTTCTTAATTCCCTTCTTTCTTAATTACTTTCTTCCTTAATTCCTTTTGTGTCTATCCTTCACTGTTTTTTCTCTCAAATCCTGGGTAACACAGTAAAGTTCCACTGCTTCCAGCCTGCCCTTTGCTTGGAGTTTGCTGCTTCTATTTTCCTCCCACGGAAGAACACGTGGGCTGGAAGAATTGTCTCCTTTCCCCCTTGTGTCATCACTGGGACTAAGAAAAGAAAGTTCCCCTGCTCTAATAAAATATTTAATCTCTCATCTAATAAAAGATACCACCTCTTCCTCCTAAAGCTGCCTGGTGAGAGAAGTTTTGCAGCAGTCTGGAATGGACAGGAAAAAAACAGAATCACCATGCCACATAAAATACAGGGTGAGCTGCTTAATGAGGCCTTCAAAGGATGTGGCAAACATGGTAAGAGTTAGTAAGGAAATTCACCATGCCACATAAAATACAGGGTGAGCTGCTTAATGAGGCCTTCAAAGGATGTGGCTCCCGACTTGGCGTGGCAGACACGGTAAGAGTTAGTAAGGAAATTAAAATTCTTCTCATCAGTTTGCTAATTAAGCAAACAGGAAAACTTCAGTTAAACCCAGGGGATTGCTCTGCACTGTTGTAGGGACCTGTGGGATCCATGCATCCCTTTCAGAGTGAGTGCTGAACGGGGACAAGGTGCCGTGCCCCGGGACTGCTGGCCTTTCTGTGTGTGGCTGGGTGAGGCTCACTGGGTCACTCTGCAAGGGACATCCATCACTGGAGGGGAGCAGGCTGGAGGAGGCTTCTGGTGGAGCATTTCCAGCTCAGTCACTGAAGGTCTGTGACTTCTCCCAGGTGTAGAAGACCACAGTGCTGCAGTCCCTGAGCTAGAGGAGGGACGTGGCATTGACCCTGTGTGTGTGCACACCCAGTGCCCCCAGCTGCCAGCAGAGCTCTTGGTGCAATGCAGCTGTCTCAGCTGAGAGTGGTTGTTCTCTGGGGAGGAACCCTGGGGAATATGACTATTTCCCTGATTTCCATTAGGATTTTGGAGAATATCCTTCTGAAGTTTTTATTTCTCTGGAGTGTTACTTTCCTTAGGCTTGAATCTGTCTCTTACTGTGGCACTGAAGTGTTTGCCAATCTTTGGAAAAAAATTAGCTTTCATGAGTGAAAGCAATAAATCCTAAAATGATTTTTTTTTCTTTCTATATCTCTCTATGTTGTGAAGTGTCCTTAAAAGCTGTTTCAGAGCAATAACCTGGCTGCAGTGTTGGCAGCAGAGCCTGCACTCCATTGGTACCTTCCCATAACACAAGTGCAGAACTGCCCCACAGCTCATTCCAGGAGCTGATTTTATTGCAGTGTAACATCAGTATAATTACACATTTTGACAGATGAACAGCCTGGTTATTCAGGTGTCTGTCTGGGACAGCAGCCATCAGGAGATGCTCAGTAACAGGTGTAAGGGGCACACCCTGGTGAGAGTATGTAGCCTCCTGCTTTTTCTTCCCAGCTCCTGGTTTAGGGATTTGCTAGGCTGGAATTTGCGTCTATATGATTGATCTAATCTCTCTTATTACCCTATGTATAAATGTGGCTTCCCAGCAATGCACAGCAGTGAATCCTTAATTTAATCATGACCCATATGAATGAAGTATTCTGTCTGGTTTTAGACCATCTAACTCCTAATCTCAAGCCCATTAGCTTTTACATTATGAGGAACTGAGAATAATGATTATCTTTTCCTCTTTTCCTGGGATATAAATTCACTTAATCTCCTTTTATTGAAATATTCATGCATGTTGTGCATCCTTTCACTTTGACTAGCTCAGAATATCCTGCTGAGATGGAATGGGCAGATGCAGGCACAGAGTGGGTTTAGATGTTTCTTGTCCTTTTTCCTGTCCTTTCCTAGCAAGATAAGAGCTCCAGATTAATTATCATAGAATGATTTGTGTTGGAAGGAAAGAGATCATCTCATTCCAACCCCTCTGCCACAACAGAAACACCTTCCACTATCCCAGGTTGCTCAGAGCCACATCCAACCTACTCGTGAACAATTCCAGGGATGGGGCATCCACAACTTCTCTGGGCAGCCTGTGCCAGGGCCTCACCACCCTCACAGTAGAGAATTTCTCCCAAATATCCAGTGCAAACCTACTTGCTTACAGCTTGAAGCCATTTATTAGCACTTGCATAATAGATCCTGGAGTAATTTCAGAGTGTCATTATTCTAAGCCTTCTTCTGTGACATTTCTAGGTCTCCTCATTTTTTAGATTCTCAGAGGACTCTAGATCATGAGTAAACTTCTAGTTCTTCTTCCAAAGAATGAATTAGAAAATACTTCTAACACCACACAACCTTATGTCTCCCTAAAAGCTGTATTGGGCTCTTTTGCAGTACATCCTATTTATCCACTACTAATTCAGTCTTTAATAATGCTTACTGTAATTTTTTGGGTACCAAAATGACTCTGAGGCTTCCCAGGTCCTTCTGACACCACGTTTGCCTGTCCATCCTCGTGTTGCTGAGGATGATTTAACAGATCACAGCAGGGCGTTCTGGAGTTCTGCAACTTGTTATTTTAATTCCTCAAGAGTTCTGAATTGAAATATTTATCTCTGTTTTACCTAGAACTTGTTTAAGTCTATTCTGCTCAATACTTCCTTCAAAACAAGGTCTCAGTCCATCACTCTCAGTGAAAGGCTCCAGGGTGGGATTTGTCCTACACTGATGTAATCCCTAACTCAGGTTCCTCCCCCACTCGGTTTCCTTACACCACACTGGGAGACTTCCTGCAGCTCATATGCTTGGAAAAGTCTCTGTTGTTTGGGAGGCAGATTGCCTTTATTAGTTTGATTTCAAACCTTTCTTAGTAGTTTAATTTTGCATTGCATTTATCAAATGTCATATCTATTTGAACACAAAATTCTGCTTTCTGAAAGATCTGTTTGAATATCTCCATGACAGTGTTGCTCCTTGAGGCTGACTTATTCTGGAGAAGGTCATCTATGAGCCTTCTTATTTCAGTTTTGTTAAATATTGATCTAGTTGTAATGATTCTAAATAGATTGCAGGAAGTTGGCTGAGATTCAAACCCAGATGGTTGTGTGGGTGTTTGCAGGTTACCAGGATGGTCACTGGACACAAAGTCAGTGCTGGCAGTGGAGTCCAAGGGCAGCTCAGCTCCCTCCAAAAACAGGAGTGCAGAACATGGTCTGGTGAATTGGTGTTTAGGATCCCCTGACTGCACAGACTTGATTTCTGTTGTCTGTTATGGGAGTGCAGACATCTTGCTCACATGTAATTACCTAAAATAAAGTGTTCCAATCTTTAATTGAGTGCGACCTTAATTGAATAATTAAGTGTTATTGCAGGTTGCTATTAGTTCAAATTTAATTTAATTTTATTTTAAAGTTAGTTTAAGTACATTTTAATGTTAATTTAAAATTTTTAAAATCTAATTTTTAAGCATGGTACAAATTCACTGATTTTTATCCAGACTGATGATGAAGACATGGACATCAAAAAGCAATCTTAGATTAAATTTAGCTATTATAGAGTCATAGAATCACAGATTGGTCTGTTTTGGAATGGACCTTAAAGCTTATCTTCTTCCACCTCCTGCCATGGGCAGGGACCAATTCCAGTGGACAGCTGCTCAAAGCCTCTCTTGAACACTTGTTATTAAAACAGTATTTTATTTATTATCACCATAGAGTTTGAACTGTCATTCTTTCTTTAATAATTTGCAGTTGAAGGACGCAATCAAAATTCAGCTGATGCCAGGAAGAATCTTCTCCTTGGCTTCAAAGAGCTTTTGATGCATCAGGATTTACACTACAGACACCAACAGCAAAAGAAATAGTTAAAGTCAATGGCATAAACAATGGGAGCAAGGTTGAATGATCTTTTTATGCCTACGTCTGACAGACAGAATATATTACACATTTGTTTTCTATTTTAGAGTATTTGCAAATATCAGGGATCATTTTAACAATGTAGGAACTCAGAATTGAATTCCTATTGCTGGAAGTTTCAAGAGGGCTCTAGGATATTAGATTAAGGGAAGATGAAATAATGATTTATGGCATCAAAAACCTTTCCTGAATGTCAGTCACTGTGTTCTGCTCAAAGGTTGTTAGCTATTGTGATATTTATCTCTACAAGAAAGAAATCATTGGTATTAGGAGCAAGGATGGGGGAGGGAAGGGAAGGGAAGGGAAGGGAAGGGAAGGGAAGGAAAGGAAAGGAAAGGAAAGGAAAGGAAAGGAAAGGAAAGGAAAGGAAAGGAAAGGAAAGGAAAGGAAAGGAAAGGAAAGGAAAGGAAAGGGGAAGCTGAAATATTAAAAATATGCAGGAGGGTGAACTTTTTGCTAAAACAGTGTAGACTGAAATAGTAGGATTATGGATTTTTACAGTATTGGTACTTTGCTGTGTCAGCCAAAGGATGCAGTAGATCCATCCCTTGGGTTCTCTAAATCTACATAGGTTGTATTGTTTGAACTGCAATGTAATTCAAATATAAAGTGTTAATTTAAGAGAATAATCTCTTCCACTCTGCAGGAGGTCAGGCACATACCACATTCCGTTCTGGTCATAAGCCTGCAAATTTTGGTCTGATTCATGTTCATCTTTGTGCAGGTCTGAGCCAAGGTGTGCAGAGAGCAGGAATGACCAGGTCCTGCCTCCTGACCTCTCAGCAGCACTGAGGTCATGCTGGGGCTCCTGCAAAATTTGTTAACAGTGTACTGACAGGAAATCTTTGTTTGTTCCAGCATGGACCTGTGTTCACAATATTTGCTCTGGGAAAACGGTTCACTTTTGTGACTGAGGAAGAAGGAGCTGAAGCATTTTTTAAATCTGAAGACTTAAATTTTGAACAGGCAGTACAGCAAGCTGTCAAGAATGCAGGTAACTGAGACCTGTCTTTTTTAAAAAGGAAACCAAATCTAGTTACCTGCGAACATTAAATCCCAACCAAGAGCCTGTTGGCTTTTTGATCATGCCTTAAATGCTTATTCTAATCCATGACTATGCTGTGAAATGGTGAAATTCAATTTCTCCATGACGACCCAGTACTGTAAACTGGCTGAGGGATTTGCATTCAGTCTCAAGGAATCAGAAGTTTCTGATCCAGGGAATGTTACTACTTTTACCATCCAGCAACCCCCGTTTGAGATCAGGTCCTTTGTTGTGGCTGGACCTGCATGTACATTGTTATGAGCAATGGTAAGTAATCCTATCACTTCCCTGGAAAATGTGTTTCTCCCAGTTAGCTTTCAGCAATAATTAGTTGCTACACAGTAGTACAACAGTCATTAGAAAAGGATGAGGTGTTTATGAGGATGTAATTCTATAGCATGGAGACACAAATTGGGGTTTTTTTCACTTCATTCAGTTTTGTGGTGTTCCTGCACATCTCCGTACACCCCACTGGGGGGAAATCTCTGGATTGTTGGTTCTGGCACTGAAGCTTCACGAGGCAGGAAGAAAAGTCATTACCAAAATCTTTACATGGTACAAGGAAGCTTCCAGGGAACTGTGCTTTAGGAAAATGAGGGTTAAGACATTTAAATTAAAGTCAAAAGAGTCAAGAGTCAAAAGTTAAGGGTAAAATTGTTCACTCTATCTTTCAGTGAAAAATCTACTTTCCAAAGCGTTTCTGTTTCCTTTTGTATTTAGTCTCTGTTCCTGCAGAAGCATTTTATCAGAACCATGGTAACCTCTACAGCATGATGAAGGGGAAGATGAGTCCCAGTAACCTGCACTTGTTCTCAGGCACTTTGTGTAAGGAGCTCCATGAGCACATGGCTCACCTGGGCACGGAGGGCACGGGTGACCTCAATGGCCTGGTAAGGTAAGGGAGTTTTGCAGCACATCTCTAACTCAGGGGTGTCCTACGTGGAAAGGAAATATTTCTGTAAAGCAGCTGGGGCTCAGAAGTCTTACAAAAGTTTTTGTCAGGATGCTCATCACAGCTCCATGGTTTCAGGTGGTTCACAGGGTGGAAAGGGTTTCATGTAAAGGTGTTTCTCCCAGTTGGAAGAAGCAGCTGAGCTGCCTGTTTGGAAAAAAAAAGAAAACACAGCATGTTCCAACAAACCCTGTTTCCCAAAAGATGGGATAAAACCTTCACATTATTTATAAAGAACTTAGAAAAAATGCTTGAACTTAGAAAAAATGTTAATCTTCTGCAGTTGAGAAATTTCCATGTTTGAGCCAAGCTTAGCTTGAAACTTAACTAAGACCCTCTGCAACTGACTTGGCTGCCAAAACTTAACATAAAAAAAAAATAAAATTGTTTCATGTGACAGCAACAAAGCTTTTAACTCCTTCTTCCTGATTATCTGGGACAACACCTGTATCTTTTCTGTCCATCTGTACTACAAGCTGAATATTCATGGAATCATAGAATGGTTTGGGTTGGAAGGAACCTTAAAGATCCTCTTATTCCATCCCCTGCCATGGACACCTTCCATAGAGCAGGTCACTCAGAGCCCCATCCAGCCTGGCCTTGAAGACTCCCAGGGATGGGGACAGATAGATGGGGACAGATAGTGCCTTTGGTTTGGCCCTGTTTCTAACACCTCACATTCAGATTGTCTCTTGCTGCCTTTTCCTGCATAATACAACAAGATACAGCTGTTAGTGCAGTTAAATCACTTGGCACCTCTCACTGCAGTTACTGCAATTTGGATTAACTGGGGAAAAATGTGGGGGAGAGGGGCTTTGAAATCTCCTAGGGGGTGATCAGTTCTGCTTTGCTAAACAAGGCAAAGTAAAAGAATTGGAATGCAACATTCTGAATAATTGTTATTTAGCTGTCTCAAAATGAAATCCATAGAGCCACCAGATGGCCCCCTCTTCCTAATTATCAGAAAGTCAGAAAAGTGAGCAGTATTCCCTGAAATACTCATTTAGCAGCATCTGGGACACAGCAAAGGCTGCACAAGAGTTTTCTGGAGTACAGGAGAAGAGTCTGAAGAAGGAGCTCAGAGTTTGCAGGGTAACAGAGGAGCAAGCATGAAAGAGTGAAATGAAAAGAAACCAAAAAAAAGCATTATCTGCCCAGGAAAGCTGCAGCCAGAGGAAGGATGTTTGGTCCAGAGGGGTTTGTGCAATGCCCAGAAGGTTCATATGGGTAAAACTGAAATGAGGGGGGTGGTTAATGGGGAGAAGGGGACCTCGGTGGCCAGAGCCTTTCTGCTCCTACTCGAGTGAGCACGCCCTGGCTGGTGAAGTTCAGCCATGTGTAGAAGACCAGCCTGAGGTCTGTGAATCTCCTGCCTCTGTTTAAAATCTGAAATGAATATGGGGCTGAGGTGAGACCCTTGTGCCAGCCCTTCCATACTGATGTGACCCTTGAGTCCCACAGCTTCCAGGGCAGGCAATCCAGGTGCTGAATCCTGCTCTAAAACTGCTGCAGCAGCTTCCCTGTGGCCCCTAAGTCTTGGGCATCTTGTCCTTGCAGGCATGTCATGTATCCAGCGGTGGTGAACACCCTGTTTGGGAAGGGCATCTGCCCAACCAGTCCAAGTGAAATCAAGGAGTTTGAAGAGCATTTTCAGAAGTACGATGAGGACTTTGAATATGCTTCTCAGATGCCCGAGTGCTTCCTGAGGTAAAGGGGCAGAGGTGATGACATTTATCAGACATTTATCTTGCTGCATCTCAACCATGGGAGACATTTCCCCTGGAGGATGATGCCCAGTTTTTAGTGATGGTGTGCCCTCAGGTGAAGCAGGCTTTTAGGTGAATGCTTCAAAAAAGTTCTGATCTTGTCTTGTGCATTTTCCTGGTATAAAGCAGAAATAACCTGGTGTAGGTGAGCAGAACCCAGCTTGGACCTGTCTGTAGCAGCAGAATGGGGTAAAGAGCAAAGGGCTGAGCCTAAATGTGAGTCCCAAGCTCAGGGGGCCTCCAATGAGTTGTCTCTCTGCTCTTCTCCACACCTCACCTGTTTTCCCAGTACCAATCCCAGGTTACAGTTCCAATCCCAGGTTACACTGTCACAGAATTGACCTTGGGTAGAAACACCTAAACCCTGAGGAGGGGCTTCCAGACACTGTCAGTGCTCTCAGGGCCATCATTGCACCTTTAGCACCTCAAAATACCTTCAGAAAGAATTGAAGATGCTCTAAAAAATGGCCTTGATTTTCTTCAAGAGAATCATTCTTCAAAAGATTGGCCTAAGCAGTCTGTCCAAATCAACAATGAAAACCTGTAATAAAAAGGTGTGAAAATGTAGGAGTGTTGCAGTCCCAGGTCCTGGCTGCAAGAGGAGGTCTGGCCAAGGGGAAGGCCTTGGACATGCTGTTCCTCATGCCAGTCATCACTTCTGTTGGTCAGACTGACATTGGCTGTTCATCAGCTCACTGCTGCCCAGGGGCTTTTGGAAAACAACCCAAGGAGGGCTTCTCATGGAAAAGGAAATGTTGGTTTGTGCTGCCTCAGTTAAGTGCTTCTTGTTTGTTGCTTTTCTTTACAGGAGCTGGTCTAAATCCAAAAAATGGCTTCTAAAATTATTTGAGAAAGTAGTGTTAGATGCTGAAAGGACCAACCCTTCAGAGACTGCATCCAAGGTAAACATCCGAGGCTAGGAAATAAGATGACTTTGTTGTATATTCTGACTGAAGCAGTGGAGAGCAGGAATTACTTCAGAACTGGAAGAAATAAGTCAAATATGTCAGCTTTTATAGCTATACCCAATGTTCCAGTATTGCTGTCACCTGCAGTAGGACAGACCCATAACTTTTGACTCCTGTTCCTCCATTTAGTTCATTTCAAGCAATTCTGAGAATTAAGATCTTCCCCTGGGGAATTTTAAGGCAAGGGGTCAGAGCTATGACCCATCCCCAGCCTGCAGTACCACACTGCAGAGAGCACTTGAAAGAGGTGAGAGAAAGACCCTTGAGTTGTTCCACTGAGGGCACCGTGCTGTGAAACTTCAAAACCTTACATGTGCTATTTATAAACCCTGGTGCAGAGTGAGCAGATCCTTCAACAGCCAGACTGGTAGAAAATAGCAGATTACTGGCTTGGGAGCCAAGTACCCTAAATATTGATTGTGTCAAAGCTGAGATAAGTTGTTCCCCTGGTTATTCTCCTGAGCTCTGGCAGGAATTCTGCCGATAGGGCTGACAAATGTGGCAGCAGACTGGCCTGGGAATTTTGATCTACCAAATTGTTGTAGGACAGATCATTAAACAAAACTGGTTTTATTTAGACTTAAAAGCTTTACATACTGCAGTTTATTTAGTAAAATAAACCAGATCAGCAGAAAGAAAGAGAAAGCTGGAGAGGAGCTGGTGGGAGGTAAGAAGGTGCAGGAAGCACAAACTTGGTGTCTTAGATTGGATGGGAATTTGGAAAAAAAATCAGCCATTTTTTATTCAAGATCAGCCTTTTCCCCTCTGAGAAGTAGGCAGGAAGCTTTGCCTCAAGTGCATGTTTGCCCCGCATTCAAGGAAATGCTATAAACAAAAGCTGATCCTAGAACATTACACAGTTCCTATAGTTTCAAATATCAGCCCATTGAAGTCACTGCTTAGGTCACCAACAAGGTGCCTGAAACTGGGGAGTTTGCTGATGTGTCAGACCATCTCTTTCTAACAAGCACCTTTTTGGCATGAACAGAGAGAACATTTTCTTCACTTCCACTCGTTCAACTGGCTCATTCCCATCTTGAGGTTCTTTAAAGCAGAGGTGCAGAGAAGGGATTAGAATAGAGATTATTTTTTCCTTTCTTCCACATACAAGCAGCAATGGCGAGTGAGGGAACCTAATCCTCTAGAACTTTAAGGAAATGGAGAGCAGTGAAAGTATTCAGGAGGAATTCATGTGGTGCACTGAGTTCCCCTTGCCCTCTGCCTATGTGAGTATCACTTTCTCTTAATAGCTGTCATCTCTACCTTGTGCCTTCCAAAAAAACCTTAACTAACATTCCTTCTCTTTGAGAAGCTAGTCCTTGAGTTCTAGTAAGCCCTGCCCCAAACTACATTTTAATATATTCTTGGAAATACAGATTATTTTATTTTATCTTTAACAGACACTTCTGCAACATCTCCTGGATAACTTGCAGGGAAAACACCTAGCTCCCAGTTATGGCCTCCTGATGCTCTGGGCTGCCCAAGCAAATGCTGTGCCTGTAAGTACATCAGCTGCAGAAACACCTTCTCTCTCTTCTGCTCCAAAGCCTGGGTTTGGGAAGGAAAGGCTTTGAAGCAGAGGTCACACACACTCCATGGATTCCAAAGAAGGGATTATCACGCCCACATGCATCACTACAAATATACCCAGGCTGCAATGTCACAGAAGCAATGACAAGAAAAGCTCTTCTTGTATTTTTCCTAAATTATGTTGTCCCTTGTCATAACATTTCAGGAACATAAGCCTCACAGCTATTAAGATCACAGTCTTAAACTGTGAAGAGCATTTAACTCTGTTTTGAAGCACTGTGGCTGTATTATAGAAAAAACTATTTCAGATAACCAATTGTAAAGAATATCAAAAGCATTATATAGAGTAACTTCATCTGTGTGTAAACCCTCAAGTGATTTTTTCTCTTTCATTTTTGGGAGATCTGCTGTACAAATGCCAGTGGAAGAAAAGCAATAGTTTGATTCTAGAGCTGTTACATTTTGTCTGTGTTAGAAAAGGATTTGCTGGATTAATGACACTGATATAAATATGCTAACAAGCCCAGTATATCTAAGACAGCTTAGGCTGACCAAAGACATTTATAGGAATTTCTCAGATGAAAAATCCATAGCAGCGAAAACATCCTTTATTTACCATGACTACTAAGCTCTTTCCAGCACAGTTATGTCCATTACAGATGTGATTTAGAAAAACATGATAGTGAGTTATTTTTGTATGTTCCCCTAACGGATATATCTATGTTTTTTGGAGATTGGATATTACTGCAGTTTAGCCTAAGGGAAATTCATCCATTTCAGTGAGGTTTCTGTGGATTCACGTGTTGGTGTAAGTGGGAGGCATAGCCTGCTGTCTGTTATCAGGATAACTGACATTCCTTCCACAACACTTACTTCTGTAATATTCAGCTGTAAATAGACATACAGATATTTTTCTGTTTCTCAGAATAGTAACAACCACTGTTCTGGGGAATGGAATGACGAAAGAAAAGGCCTTTCACCTTCCAAGGGCATTTTTTACAAGCACTTTAAACCCTTTTATCTGAAACAATTCAGTTATCCCTTCTTAGCCCATGGAGTGAAGCCACAGTGTCCAAGTGCTGTACAGGAAATCTAAGCTACAAGATTTGCTTTGCAGGGTGAGGGCTGCATCCATGTCAGTCTGTTTGGGAAATAACAGTCAGAGTTTCATCCCTCACCAGCACAGATGGCCCACGACCAGATCTGTGTGCAGGCTGCACCTCCCGCTAGCTCAGCAAGAGGAGAGAGACTCCTGGCATTGCTGCCAGTCCTTCTGGTTTCATCCTGCTTAAGAGGATTTTCTCCTTTCCTAAATTTCTTGATTTTCAACTTCATTGCATAATCAGTTAGCAAATTATTTCTAAAGGGGATATACTACTCCTTGTTTTGCTGTTAATTAAAACTTTTCCTGCCCATTTTAATGTGACTCACCATGACAATGCCCTGCAAATTATTTAACCTAGTTTCTGCAAATGCTAGTATGAATTTATTTTTCTTTCATTCCTGCAGCTAAAACTAATCATGCATGATGATTTAGTAGTTCATTTAACACCTAGTTATTTGAAAATAAAGGATTCTGTGTTTCAAATCTCAAGGCCAAAGCTATATAATGTTCACTAGAGATAAGTACACAGCAGATGACTAGACATAATCTCCCAGGAGCTGAGCCCTTAGATATGGATTTACCCAGGAAGCACAGCTCCTCATGCATCTCAGCCACAGCAGGCACATACAAAAAAAGTCCACATGTTTTCACCTGCCTCTGTGACTTGCTAAAAAGATACTGTCATTCTGCTCCATGTCCCTCAATTCAAGGATTTCCATCTCTGTTTAGGTTGCATTTTGGACCCTTGCTTTCATACTCTCTAATTCAGCCATTTACAAGAAAGTAATGGAAGACCTGGCTTCTGTTTTTGGCCAAGCAGGTAATTAATGTGATTTTGTCCTTCTGGAAGCTGGAAGTGATTTATCCTGTGTTGGCCCAGCACAGGGCACACTTGGTCAGTGGCTGGGAACAAGGAGTGTTCCAGTTAAGGGTTCTACTGACAGCATAGAGGCCAGCTCTCAGGTCTTTACTCAGTATATGTTCAAGACGTATTTTTAAGCAAAAACACCTCTAATGTTAGCAGAAGGAAGTAGGAAAAGAACAGTATGTGTTTATTTCTTCATTCCTATCACTTAAACTTAGATTTGTATTTCTTGTACTTGTGCTTTTTCCAGACACCTAATAGTTGAGGTCTTCCAGTTCAGGTGCTTTTCATGGTGTGTTGTTCACCAGAGTTACAGTTATTCATGGTTAAAAAACAGACCAGGAACTGTTCTCTTTTCTGTCATCAGAGACAAATTTTTCCAGCATGGTTCACCTGTTACAGTTATTCATGGTTAAAAAACAGACCAGGAACTGTTCTCTTTTCTGTCAATAGAGGCAGATTTTTCCAGCATGGTTCACCCCCCATGAATAACCTGTTTCCCTCAGAAAGCAGTCACCTATTGGGAGCAGTGGTTCCCATATTCAGTCCCTTGGACCAGAGTCAAACTTTCACAGAAGACTCTTTGTTGACATGGGTCAAAACTGTATCAAGAAACATATCAGTAATTAACCAATAAAGAAAACTCCTGAAGCCTTTTTCCTGGCCTTGCTTCATTTTCTAATGTTAACAGAGCCAAAGAGCTCAGCTGTGGCTTCTTGTCTGGGTGCCTGCAGTCCCTGAGATTTCCATGCAGTATCCTGTGAAAGCACAGAAAAACTCTGAAGACTTTTAACTTCCAACATGACTTTGTTTGGTCCCTTCTAACACCATATCTACACCTACCTTAAGTTATTGAATTATGTCCAATGGCTTTTCTTAAATTTTACTGATTTGGGTCTGTTTGTTTACTTTGAAATATATTGACAGTTTTTGTGTGTAAACAATGCCTTGAAGTCTTGAAGTATTTCACCCACAGTCCTAAAGCAAGACATGCCAGCCTGTATCAAAGCAAGTAAGAAATGTAATTTTCACATGGAGTCTTCTTTCTCATGCCATAACAGGTAAAGATAAACTGGAAGTCTCTGAGGAAGACCTGAAGAGGATCCCTTTCATTAAATGGTGCACTTTGGAAGCCATACGGCTGAGGTCTCCAGGTGCAATCACCAAGAAAGTCATAAACCCAATTAGAATTAAGGTGAGGTTTGGTTGTGGGGCTTTTTGTTTGTAATCATCTGTCTTTTCGTTTCCACACTTTTTCCCCTTCTTTTTTGGTTTTGTTTTTTGTTTTTTTGTTTTTTTGTTTTGTTCTTTTTTTTTTCCCAGAGGATGCTGTGTGATTTGTCTGGAAAGGGTCCTCCCAATAGATCTGGGTAAAATTACAGTGATAGAGATATTCCCCAGCCTCACATATATATTCTTTTTAATAGATTTATTCATCATCATTAATTTATGAGTGGTTTGGATTGTTTGGCTCAGTCTTGCCTTCAATTTTGAATTGATTTAATACTGAATTGAATTGAACTAGAGATACTGATGGCATATAAAAGAGGAATCAGACACAACAAGTATAGTAGAAGGAACTACATTTCAGTTACTCATAAGACTCCTTTTTGTCCTCTTCACTACCATTCAGAAGGGAGATGTCAGCATTCAGGAATCTGGCACAGAAATGTTTGGGAAAAAACCCACACTCTTAAGGAATCAGTGCTCATGACTATTTAAGATTACTGGTCAAATTATCACTATAATCTATCTACTGTCCTAGAAGGCTTTCTTTGAATTTCTTTGCATTGAAGGAAGTATTTAACAAAATATTTAGAAAAAAGAAAACAGCTCACATGATAAATCAAGAAGCAGGAAAGACAGAAATAATGCTTCTGATCTTTTGATATCTAAAATAATAGCACAAATAATCTTTCCAACTTCCCCATTGTTTAGGTTTTATGGAAAAAAAATAGCAGCAGCAATAAGAAACTTCAGACATGTAATATGGCCACCATGGCTTTACTTTCACTTGTCTTTTCTTAGGATCTTCTGCTGATAGAAGAGAACTACCAAGGAGGGACTATTTTGTGAGATTTTTAGTTCTTTTCTTAGAGATTTTTCTCTTTTCAGAATTTCACCATCCCTGCAGGTGACATGCTGATGTTGTCACCATATTGGTTGCACCGGAATCCAAAATATTTTCCTGACCCAGAAATGTTCAAACCTGTAAGTTGTCACTCAGTGTGGATATTTTGCTGCCTTTTCTTCCCTGTACTTATTTTACAATAAAAGCATATGGACAAATGTGCTTAAATCTGGCAGGAGAATGGCCTTGAATACAGAGACATAAAGGAGGAGCCTGTAGGAATAAAAAAGTCTTTTAAATTCAGTGACATGTTGCAGGTAATATGGTACTACTTTAGTATCACTTTGATCCTTATCTTACCACTTTCTGTAACTCCCTGAAAGAAGAGAGCAGCCAGGTGGGGCTCAGTCTTTTCCCTTAAGTAAGAGCTGATAGAATGAGAGGAACCAGCCTCAGATTGTGCCAGGGGAGATTTACATTGGATATTTGGAAAAATTTCATGACTAAAAGCACTGTCAGGCATTGGAACAGGAAAATGGTCACCATCCCTGGAGGGGATGTGTAGGTGTGGCAGCTGGGGATGGTGGATTGGCAATGCTGGGTTAATGTTGGACTTAGAGGTCTTTTCCAACCTAACCAATTCTTGATTGGTTAACTTGATTTCAAGTGTTTTCCTCTCCCTGGTGGATGATTTCTCGTAGGTATTATCTCTGCTAATTCAGTAGTTAATCTAGTTTCTTGATTATTATTCCACTGCAGGTGGCTGTGTGGGCAGGCTTGTAACTGCTCTTTTTAGCACCATCCAATATAGAACAGTTTGTCTTTTTTATAGAAATACATCAAGAAGTAATTTAAACAAAACTTCCCTTCTAGCAAACTCTTCCTGATTTGAAATCCCTTTTAACAATTCCTGCTCCTTTGAAATCTGAAACTCTGATGCAGCAGCTTATTTTTTTAGTAACTTTATTTCTAAAGAGCAAGTGAGCTTGTTTTTTAGAAACTCTCCCTTTTTTTCAAGAGGAATAGATGAGTGCCCCTTGGACATTGTCACTGCCAATGTATGACCTTGCTTCATCACCACGGAGATATTTTTTCTTCTTTATTGTATTTTGATGCTTACAGGTTTCTTCTTCAGAAATCTCTAATCAGCCCTAGCTGAAAAAAAACCCCTAAAATAGATAAATGCAAGATGATGTCTTCTGTGGGACAGCTTCATCAGAGGAGTTCACCACCAGAAGCTTGACAGGGTGTTACTTGGCAGAGTAGCACTGAGTTCGTGGAGGCTGGTACAGTTTGTCACCCAGCAGTCATGAGATTTGCTTCTCTCAGTGTCACCCACCAGAACTTCAGCCAATATTGCCTTGTTCCTTGTGTAGTCCCTTTCCTCTCAAAGCAATTTAGGATGGAGCAGGGATCCCTTTGGGTACAGACAAGCTATTTTTTGTGGAGAATCTTTCATGTTCTCACACACTGGCTTACACCAGTTAAAGCTCATAGACCTTGCATTTATCTGTGCAGAGTGTCTTAGAAATGTTTTTTCTGTGCAAGATGTGTGTGAGCTATTTGTGTGTCATGACACAATTTTGTGGCTGAGGCTTCTTTCAGTACTGGTTGAACATTTGCATTTGTAGATACATTTAAAAAGAGAAGGTTGCATTTTAATAGCTGAAGATGCAGGATTTAGGAAATGGGGAGGTATAGGAAAACTGCTTTAGGGGTAATTTTGAAAACTTCTCCAGCATTTTAAGACACCTAAATGTGTTTCAAATGGGACCCTCATGTCTTTCCCTGATTTGGTGTTGACTTTTGGATCTAGATTCTAATACTAACAGGTTGAATGCAGAAAAAAAATAGTATTAGTACAACTTTGTATTGAGGATTAGCTGTCCAAGGTCATTTTTAGCCTGAAAAAATAAAGTTAAGCTTTATTTATATAAGGCTGATTTGGAAAAAAAAGTTTCTTCCCACAGGATCGTTGGAAAGAGGCAAATTTAGAGAAGAATGCTTTCTTGGACAGCTTTGTGGCATTTGGAGGAGGGAAGCATCAGTGTCCAGGAAGGTCAGTGAAACAGCTGGAGTTTATTTATTCCCAAACCCTGCAGAGAACAACTCTCTTGAACTGGGCTTCTCTTACTCTTGGAGATAACGTGTTTGCTTTGCTCTTTGTCAGTCTCCTAATGTTCAGCACCATCTGCACCTTGTTTAAACTGATCTGGGAGTGGTTTCATTCCTGGAAAAGACAGGTGAAGTCACAGTGAACAGGCGGAATCTGAGATCAGTGTATTAAGGGATATTGCCCCCCACCCAGGGAGTGGTGGGAGGAAATTCAGCCTGGCTCTGCCCCTGCTGAGGTTTCTTTTCATCAAGGGAGAAAGAAATACACCATTTTACAGACACAGTTATTTAGGTTGTCTTATACCAGTTCTAAACAAACCTACAGAACATTTCTCAGGTCTGAGACTCTTTCCGTCCTCTGTGATGCCATTGACATCTCTGCTGATCTTCAGGTATCTTAACCTCCTCTCTGTTTGAATCTGGTCTTTGCATTAGGGCACACAGAATTGTATAATGGCTTAAATTGCAGATCCTGTCTCACTTCACTCCTCCAGCAATGCCAGCCTTGGTACTTCCTGCATTCCTTCTGTTGTTTTCTCTGCTGTCCCTCTTCCTGGAAAGAGTCCCAGGGAGCCAGCTGCTCCTTGTTCCTGTGTTCAAACATCTCTGTGCTCAATCCTCTGCCTTCAAAACCTGAGCTCCTCTGAGACAAAAGTCTCCTTAGAATCCTTTAGACCAGTCATTTTACCTCGAGCTCCATATGGAGCAAGGAATCTGGAGGGTATTGCAGAGGATCTGCATTCTGGAATCTGCACCCTATGGCAGGCTCGACATGAGTGCCACATAAACTTTGTGAAGGCATTAAAGTCATGAGCAAAATGAATAAAACTGCTTTTGCCATTTAGCCTTGCCAGGGGGAAGTGCTCACTCCCTGCTGTACCTCGGTGGCTTGTACCACATTCCTGAGCTAAATCTGAGCACAGCCTCATTCCCAGCAAGGGCAACAGCAAAATTCACAAGAGGCATCTGCAGGTACAGGGAAAGCTGCAAAACAATGTTTCTGAAAGCTGCTTGTTTATATATCCTGACCTATATCTTTGTTCAGGCTGTTCTCTGGGCTCTGATAACATCTTTCAAATAACTTTTTGTTTAGAGAGGAAAGTATAACATTTCTACACAGACAACAGATGGAGAATCTTGTTCTTGCTGAGAAACAAAAAAGCCCTTTCAGACCCTTTGGCAGTCCACATGGTAACACACACCTTCAGGTTTTTCAGCAATGATTATAAAATAATAATGTGATGATCTTGAAAAAAACCAAAAATTAAATCAAGGGTTGTATCAAGGATTCCAGGTTGCAGATTTCCTTCATACAACTGAATGAAACAATGTTATTTCAAGTTTAAGGTGCATTTTTATTCATTTCAGTACTGCAGTATATAAATGAAATGTATGAAACATTTAATTTCTCCATTGTATAAGTTCAGCATAAAATTAAAAGCTAATTTAATCAAACGGAAAGCTAGTAAATAACTTAGCTGTCCAATATTTTATCAAATTGATGTGGGAAGAGCTCTCAAAAAGCCATTTCTGTGCCATATTTTTTACCTAAAAGAAAAATTTGATGCCAGTTTGACTACTTTGGTTGGACCAGGTGATTATTGCCTGTGTAGCTGTGCTTGTCTTGCACGGGTGCGATGCAGGGCCCTGCTGTGCAAACAGAGCTGGGACTGGAAGGACCCAGCCTTGCATGGTGCTGCAGGGTTGGAGTTTGGGCTACATCCCACCTGAGCTGGGCTAATAGCCATCAAAATATCTCTGCACTCCATTCCCCTGAGCCACGGCCACCAAAAGCTCAAGGCAATTGCAGTGTGAAATCACAGGGATAATTTGGGTCTGAAGCTGTGCTGAAACAAGCAAAGATATCCCACTCCAGAGCCCAGGGTGGCTCCATGTGCAGAGCCTGGTGGCTCTGCAGGAGTTACCTTGGGTTTGTGAGGCTTTTTAGCTTCCCTTCACACCTGCCAGGCCAACTCCATGTGCACTCATGTAGCTCTTCCCCTGTGACTTCCCCCATAGCTATTTTATCCAGGTTTCCCAGCATTTCTCTGTACAAGAACAAGGTGGTATTACTGTTTTAACTGGGTATTTAAGACTTGTGTCTAAACTCTGCAAGTGAGTAATCCCATGACCTCACATAGGTGCACACTGGTGAATGCAGAGAGCTCTTGTACACATAAGCTTTAAAAACCAATAGCCTGGAGGATTTCACCTGCAGTCATCCAAAATCTTCTCTGGCCTAAGAAAGACCCTTGGGAGAGTGTTACAGAAAAAAGAAACCGTGCCCTTGGGTCTCCTACTGCATCCTAATGCTGACGCATTAAATAATAACTCCCACTGTCACTGCTCTCTGATGTCACCAGGCTCCCAGCTGTATTATATAACTTTATATAGCACAATTAGTCATATGGCCTTTTCTGTTTGACTGCCTTCTCACTCCTAGGAAGTTATTTCAAGTCAGCAAGTGTTAGGAGAACATAAATGTTTATACAGTGGAAAAATCCATAACGATAAGGAGCTGGTTTAAAATAGGTGTCAGAGGGATGCTGTCAGTCCAGTGTTTCACCACAAAAAGAAGGGGCAGCTGCCACATTTGTGTTCTTTGCTGAGTAACAAACCCAAACTACAGCAGTTTTCCTATGGAAGATAAAGGCAGAACTAAAGCAGAGAGTGTAAAATGTGTCAGACACCCTGTTTCTTACCTGATAATAACACACACGTGATGGTCAGTCTGGAGGGCCAGTGCATTCCTCCCTTTTTGTGCAGGTGGTTTGCAATCATGGAAATCCAGCTGTTGGTTGTGCTGTTCCTGTACAAGTATGAATTTGTGCTCTTGGATGCAGTGCCAAAGGAGGTAAGAGATCCATGCATTTGTGTAGCATTCTCCATCTTTATACCCTTCATTCATCAGGTTCAGCTGAACAGCCATGCTCAACTGTGGCTACATAAATTTTGAGAGGAGTGTTATAAAACATATATCTTTGTTTTAACTCAGAAAATCCAGAGTAATTCCAGCAATTCCAGTTAGTGGGGCTGCACTGCCTGTACAACAAAGTGCTTACAAGAAGGTTTTGTCTCATCGTTGCCTAAACATTACAAAGAGATTTGATCCTTGTTGCTCACAAAAACAGTAAATATGGAATGAGATCACTAATACTTTAAAGATATGGAATCAGGTGTAACACTTGTAGTGCTCTTCCACTCCATATTCAGGGGGGGAAGGTAAATGATTAAGTAAGATTGAATGAGCAACAGAAAGATTTTACGCTTGTGGTAGAATGGCACAATTGCCACTTCATTATTTAAATATTTTGAAAGTATTCAAAACTGTGAGAGTTTCTTAAGAACTCATGTGTCACCCTGACAGAGTGGTTGGAATAATAATTAACCATGAAGGCCCTACTTGATGGCTTTGGCAAAGCCATAAAAGAATTATTGGTATTTGGTATTGGTTCTCTTAAGACTGAAGATGCAAGGATACTTGTATCTTAATGTTAAAGCACAATGGTAATGCTGTTAATTAAACTAACTGATGTGGTTTTTTTCTGAATTTCTCCTTCCTTCAGAGCCCTTTACACTTGGTGGGGACACAGCAACCCATGGCACCATTACAGGTCCGGTATAAATGTCGGGAATGAAAGTTGTGCAGCACTGACCTTTCTTTGCCAGCCCACGCTGGATGGATGGACCACTGAGCTGCTTCCTAATCCCACATCTCCAGACAGCTTCTCTGCCTGCAGAGTTCTTGATTTCAGCTTTCAGTGCTGTACACTGTGCTGTGCCAAACCAGTGCAGTCATACCTGTGCTCCTCCCCAGCTGCCCACCTCCCAGTGCTTCAGTCCAAGCTCTCCTGCTGCATCCATAATTTGTGGGCCAGTTACTCACTGACTTTGCAAATCTGATATACTAAACTCACCAACCAAGTATTCAGGACAAAAACCTGCAGTGTCTGGAAGTCCTGTGTGGAAGCTGTGCCAGAACCAGCGGAGAAGCAGCTCCCTTGGGCCAGGTCACTGCTTCCTGCAGGGCGCTTCAAACCAAGGCCAAAGTGGTGCCTGATGCTAAGAAATCTCATTGGTAACAGCAAACAGCTCCCTGGTGCTGGTGTGCACAAAATCCAGGACAGTCTGAGCAGAGACCTCTGGATCAGCTCCACATCCTGATAAACTGTGGGCACTTGTGTGTCACTGCCTGGGTGGGCAGGTGAAGGTCTGGCCTGCTCTGCTACAACCAGTGCCAACTTCTTGTGAATAAAATGCATTTGTCATGGAAAAATTGCAAGCATTTGGGATCTTGTTCCACTAGAGCACCTGAAATTTCTGCTGAGCTTTATTTTGCTCCTCAGGATTCAGAATTGGTCCTTGCATGAATTTGCAATGAAAGTTTGACCATGTTTAGCTCCCAATAAAAAGTGATTGCAAGGAAAGCTGTTCCTGCTCATGAGACTGGTTGTCTGTTATCTAGAACACTTTTACTTTCCCTTCCATGAGTTATAGAACAAATTGCACAAATCTAAGAATATTTAATCCTGTAAAGAATATCTAGTAAAAGTTGTTTGAAGACGCTGTCAAATAAGTTCAGATACCAACACTTTAACTGCTGTCAGATTTAATATACAATAATAGCTGGCATGTATTTTTAGTCTTAGAAGTAAAGATTATCCATCATTTTAAAAGTATTTGCAAAAAAAAATCCCCTCATACAAATAGACTCTGAACAACAGAACAAACTATGGGAACATGCACAGGAAAATAACACATTGTATAATTCTTTACATGGTTGGCTTACCTTTGTGATGGATAGAACAACTTCAGTGATTTATATGGCTGGAAAATAATTCATCTAACTTTTATTTCAGCCCATAATGGTTAACTGTGTAAGTGTTGCAATCTTAATTGCTGTTCAAGTATCTCTTCCATAACTGAAGGCCATTCCCTTGGATTTCATGCATGGCATTACCTGGAAGTGTATATTTTTATTTTGAAATTTGGAAATGACCATAATATTTGTAAGGCAGGCTGGATGGGCCTCTGAGCAACCTGGTCTAGAGGAAGGTGTCCCTGCCCATGGCAAGGGATTGGAACTGGGTGGTCTTTAAGGTCCCTTCCAGCCCAAACCATTCTAGGATTCTGTGATGATTTTTATAAATATTTTGCACTCACAGACCTCCACCCTGATCTGCCAGAGCAGAGGGGAGGATGAGGCCACTGGTGTTCTTTGTCTGGGTGCTGAGTGTTTCTGTCTGAGCTGGCCACTGGAACCATCAGTGGATACACACATTTTAACATCTGTGGGTGTGTCTGCCAGATCCAGGGCTGTGGAGCTGCAGCAGCCTCAGCTCTGTGGGGCTGCTGGATTTAGCAACTCCCCATCAGTCATGAATCAGCCATGAAAATACTAGTCCTGAAAGGCAGGACATGTTTTTATTGGAAGTGCAGGCTTTTGACAGGAAAGAAATACCTGTTCATGGCAGAGGTGAAGAAAAGTGGGCCTGACTGGGGTTCCATCACTGCCCTGTTGTATGTGACAGCTCCAGGCACTTGCTGTACTTTCCAAGGTGGAAAAAACAAGGGAGGTGGATTAATAAAGCAATGTGGTGGTCAAGTGATAGAGCTAAAAGGGGTCTTCTGCCTGGAAATAATCCAGAAGCTTCTGGAGGAGGGAAAGACTTTCCCATGGGACAGGGTTAAACAGGCATTAAAAGGTCATCGAGATACTCTGTGCAGGAGTGGATTAAGAGTATCTAAATTATTCTTCTTCAAGTGCTTGTCCAGTCAGCTCTTAAATACAGCAGTGCCAAATTTCCATAGGGAATCTGTCCTCTTACCTGACTCTCCCTGCTGTTAAAAAGCTGTCCTACATATCAGGACATAGCAGGAATCAGAGTAAGGTTTTATCCATGCCATTACCACAAGCCTGTAAGAAGCCAAAGATTTTTAAGCCCACAGAGAAATAAAATGTATTTCAAGCTACCTTTTTTATTTCTACCTTCTGTATGAACACTGGGTGTTAAAGGGAAAGCAGTAGAGCATCCCTCAAAAGAAGTTCTTAGAAAATGTAACTCTTCCTCCTCCAGATGTGGCAAAGGCCAGCTCTACCTGATAAATTCCCATGTCAAAGTCATTGAAACAATGGTAAGAGTTGTCTTAATGAGACAGGAAATGTAGTGTTACAAGGAATAAGAAATAAAACTATGTTACATGAATTTTCCTTTAATAATTGTATATTAGAAAAGGGTTTCACGGAAAAAAAAATAAGGAAACCAACACATTCCAGGCATTTTTTTTATACTTTTGAAGAGAGCATAAACATTTTCCCTGAAATAATGAATCTTCCTGTGGAAATAAAAAACTCCTGAAAACATTTTGAGTTAAAATTCTTGACCTCCTGTAAGTGAATCTTCTGCAGTCAGTGCAGTGAAAAGATCACCCACAGTATCAGCAGCCACCTCCCAGAATAATCACAACTTCTTTTGTGTCTTCCCTCTAATGAGCCTCCCCAAAGGCCCCTCTCAAGCCAAGTGTTTCAAGTGGTCTTTCTCTTTTCTGTGCCACTGATTGTCACAGAACCCAAAAGTTTAGACTTAGCACATACACCTCCTCAAAGTAGCTGTCTGGGGACTAAAAGATAGTGCTGTGGCCATTGAGAGGTGGTCTAAAAATAATGACTCACCCTCAAAAATTAATTTTAAGACCCTTGCTCTGTGCTGGGCTTAGGCACTTTGCCAAGCAAAACTCAACTTAAGCATGTGTTTTGCCTTAAACAAACACTTAAAATGGATCTGGGGAATAAGAATGGATTTTGATTTGAGCACAGGCTTAAGCGCTTTGCTGAACCAGGGTCCAAAAGCCTCAGTCCCTAACCTGTTGTTTACAGTTAGTTTTGGCATCTGCATTGCAATTTTAAGGACATACAAAGGTTAGTGGAAATACTGAGATGGCTTTGCTCATTTTAGGTGAACCTGGCACACATGAAAGGATTTTAGGAAGCATTTATAGCCCAAACCAGTAGGCTTTGCTGGCAACAAGCATCTTTCCCAGTTATTTGGTACATTCTAAATGCATGGCTCATCACACTGCAAAAAATACTGCCTGTCCCCCATGTGGTAGAAGGGGAATTGGACACAGGAAAGGCAGTCAGAAGATAGCAAGCACTTAATTGCAGCAGCCAAGGAGAGGCTTTCATCATGTGGCCATTCTGGATGACATTGGACATGCGACTGATTGGCACAGCATTATTTGGGTTTTTCACTTTGATCATAAAATTACCAGGAAAGGCTTAATGGAGTTATAAATATCTTGTTTCCATGAGAGTCCTGGGAGGATAATTATAGCACTGAAGTCTTTACAAAGATAGAGCATTTATGAAATGATATTATCTGAGGCCTGCAATGGATAATGCAGGGAATTCTGCAGTCTATTCCCAGCCCCCCTTATTGACTCACGGTGCTCTTTGGGTGAATCACTTCATCCCTGTTTCCTCACTCTGGGGTAATAATGACAATTACCTACTGCTGCAAAGTCTGTATGGCTCAAAAGCTGTTGCTCCCACTCATCAGAGCACTCCTGCCTGGTTATTGATAGCAATGGCTGTCTGGAAGGCTTTGGATGAGCTACATGTTTTCCTGATGTGTGCTACTGGTAGATTGCACTTCTTGTAGTTACAGTCAAAACACTCAGGAGAAATATTTCAAATCTCTTAATTCAAAGTTTTTAAGAGGATGATGAAACAGCTGTACCCCACAGTCTTCAAAAATATTTTGGTTTTATTGCAAACCTTGTAATTTAAAGGCTATGGACAAGTTTCTTGTTGAGTGAAATGACAACTTCCTTTCATAAAACCAGCCCCTATGGAGGAGCATTGCCTAGAAGGGCTGAGTAGCAGCTGCCTGTGAGTAGGAACTACAACTCTAACATTCCCAGCTGCACTTTTCCTGCTCTAGAGACACCATGCATCATCTTTCCAGCTTTGAAAAAGGCAAGTGGGGAAAGAGTGATGGCAAATGGGCAGATGATTGTCACATGGGATACTTTGCTTGAAGGCCCTAACATGGATTTTGGTTACAAAAACAAGAACTTCAGTGCTGGAGAGGAGATCCTACATCTCCCATCAATAGCACTGTAACAGCCCTGACTGGGATTGCAAACAGCTCCTGATAAATTTGAGAGACATCAGAGCTCTCCAGTAGTGGATGGGCCTTTGGAGCTTGCTGTGCCTATTTGCAGAGGACTGAAATGAAAATGATCACCTTCCTACCTGGAACAAGGTAGAACTGCAGATGAGGAAATGGAATTGTTTTACCAAGCACTGCAATGACATTTCTGTATGAATAGTCCTGACAACAAAATTGCCCATTTTTCCAAAATAGAAGCTCCTGCTCTGGAGTGTGTGCACTGCTGGGGTGAAGGGAGGAGGAAAAGGCAACCTCATTACTTTTCAGAAATCTGCAAAACATAAACCAGGAGAGTCTGAATATCTAAATTATCTATATAGGCATTCTGCTTCCATAAAGCAACTTCTAGGTAGTCTACAAAGGCAGAAAACATCTTTTTCTGAATGCATTTCTCAGATAATGTAATCATAGCTGGGCAGAGAAATCTAAACCTAAGGAGGATCATGTTCTTTACAAAGCATAATTGTGGAATAGAAAAACTTGGCATTCCCTTTTTCCTGTGTCCTTGCTCAGAGGCAATTGCCAGTGATTTCTGTGAAGATCTGACCCAAATAAGAGGCAAGAGAGGCTCTGTGGGTGTGGTCCCTCAGCACTGCATGTCCAAACTACTCTTGCTGTGGGATCTTGCACTGGTAAAGCAGGATCCAAGCTGAAGATGGGGCTCTGTCACACCTTCCCCTCAAAGGTGTCAATTGTAGCCAGACTTGACTCATTTGAATTAAACACACTGGGCTCATAGTGTTGGTCTTTGTAACTGCTGACACAGATGCACAAGCAGTTTCAAGGCACTGGCCTTTTATCTGACCTTTATTCTGAAGACCATCAATGCTCAGAAAAGCATTGTGTCCTTCTGTTTGCATGACACTAGAAGAAAATCAAGTGATTTCCCTTTCAGGCCATGGCCCCCCGAATGTGATTCCCAGGTTAAAATGGATAAGCAGCTTGAGATACTCAAATAGTTCTGCTCTTTAAGTAATTCACTAGAGCTGAAGATACTGCCTTTGATATTCTTCTGCCCAAATCTTAATATTACAATTTGCTATTTTAAGCTTGTTTATAGAACTGAAATAATACGCAGATAAAAAAAGGATAATTACTAGGGTGTTTCAGGCATTAAAGCTGAGGTTTGGAGTTCCTTTTTCTGAGAAAATAAACCAAAGAATGTTTTACTATCTGAAAACCTGGCAACTGGTCCTTGCTTACCGTGAAGTAAGATCAAGCACCACTTTGTTAAAAGCCAGTTTCATCACAATGAACTCATTGTTTCTTA